AAACTGCTTCTCCTTTTGCTCCAGGGAGAAAACTGTCAGATTTTGGATGCTTATTCAAAACTGTAGTCAAGATTTTCATAAAACTTTTTCAAAGTACGTTGTTCTTGCCCTACTAACACTTCTGAAGGCTTTCAGCATGTTTATTGCTCTTCGTGCTTGGAGAATGTAAAAAAAAGTTGGGTTTGGGGGTTTTTTTCCTAATGTACAGACCCTGGACTGGGATACTGGAGCCATTCACATCTTCCCTGTCTCTGGAATGACATTAACCATGTTTCTCTTTGTAAGCACCTAAGGTTTAGCAGTGATAAGTGTAATTTAAGTTGTTGTTACTGTAGAGCCACTCTGAAGTGAGACTTGGTTACATGGCTGTCTTCATACTGCTGTTCCCAGTTCTTGGCAGCAGTGCAAATGTTTCTGCACTCCTAGCCCTGAAGCAGTAACGCCATCAGCTTTCCAGCCTGCACTGGAGGTGATATCACGGGGCTGCATGACAGCCTGAAGTCGCCTGGTGCAGGGAAGAGCTGGAAAGGCTACCACAAGCTCTTCTGCGGAGCTCAGGGGACTGATGGACTGCCTGAAGTCCAGAGAGCAGCTAGCTGATGGGGCACATAGCTTTCGTTTGCTGGAGTAGAGGGTGCAAAACCAAATTAAACAGAGTATTTAGGTTTCTTACTTTCCAGTGAAATCTGTAGGAGTTAGGACTAAGTCCTTTTGCTAAGCCCAGCCTTCAAGGCCTAGTAAAGTCAAAAGCTTGATGCCTGAAGTTTAACAGAAGTCTATCCCTCTTAGGCACAGCATGAAGTCAGCACATTTAAACACATGCTTAAAGTTAAATTCATTTATTGCTGTGGTAACAGGCATGCATGCTACCCACCCCCCTCTCCCTGTAAATCGGCAGTGCATTATTTCATCAGCCACAGGACATGGACACATTTTTTAGACGCACCTAGTACTTCATTCATCGCTCCTGAATGTCAGTGGTTAAAGCTTTGTGCACTTTGGAGTTGTTATTCCATGTTACCTTTCTGGAATGGCTAATGTATGCTGCAGATGCCAGTGCAGTAAAGTGAGAAACTAGGAAATAAAGTCTTGAACAAAAATAGGAGGATATGAAAAAACCAAACCCAAACACGACAAAAAATACCCATCTGGTGCGTAGCAGTATTTTTTGGAAAGCCCTCAAAAATAAGCCATAGTTCCATTGAAATGCCAGTGAATTGATGTATGTTTGTTTATGAACAGATGTATGTTTGTTTTTATTTCAGAGGCATTGAGGATGTCGAAGATGAAATAGGAGGCTTAAAATCACAAACTGTCTTAGCTCCGTGTCTCTGCATGATTGCATACATGCTTCCTGGGGCACAATTTTAGGAGCTTGGTTTTAGGCAGCAATCTCAGTAGGCAATAGCAGAAGACCTCTGGAAGATGAGTCATTTCCTCTGTGGCATGATGATCACTGGAGTGGCCATCCTTGTTTGCTAACTATTAAAGGAATGTGCATGCACCTAGTTTATACAAAACTTTTTGTTAGATGGGATCTTCCCAGGGATTGCGTGCATGCCTTAGAGGAATGTGTTTCTTTGTAGGACAGCATGTATCTGAATGTTTGTGGGCAGATTTAAGGAAATAGCTGATGTTGTTTACTGGATCAGCCTTTGCCATCCCTCCCCTCTTCTCTCCAGGAGTACCTACAGTCCGAGAGGTGGGCTGAGTTTCTGTGTTGTGACAAAAGGATTCCCCTGTCAGTCTGACTTCTCACAGTCCATACCAGTCCCACAATAACTTCTGAGTGAAACATATGTGTACACCTTTCTGCCCGTGCCCTCCTGCCCCACCCCCCACCATGTATGAGTAAATACCTCTAATGTGTTCTGTTTCAGATTTCTTGATATCTTTATATTTTACAGCGTCTGCCAGAGCTTGTTTTCCTTTGTACTTCAACTGCCAGCAATACTTGTAGCATTTTCTTGGCCTTGTTGGACTCTGGCAGGGAGAAGGAGCCTTCAAGGCACAGCTGCCTTGCGTCCTCTACCAGCTTATTTGTTTCACATTCTACACAGTAGAGTTTTAACATGTCAAATGTGTAGCATGTTGAAAGGTCATTTAAAGAGCCTGCTCTTTTTCATATTACGGCTTCTTGATACAATAGCAAGGTTTCAAAACAATGACTCCAGGTATCATCTAGGTCTTCAACAGTTGTCGAGAAGCAAGTTGCCAATGTTTTACGCTTAGTGTCCTGACAGGTACCTCAGTTGTCTGGCTTTTCTCAGCCATTCAGGTGTAAGGGAGTTTCAGGCTGTTGATCTGACTGTGGGTACAAGCACCACAGTTTTATCTCAGTGTAAGGAGTCAAGACAAATCCCTGTGAGAAAGCAATACCAATTTCAGATAACCGTGTGTATTTAAGGGCTAGCCATGCTTTGTCTCCATAGACTTTTTTTTTATGGGAAATTCACTGATTTAGTGTTAAAATTCTCTCTTTTGTCTTCAAAATGAAAGTTGTTTTCTTGGTCTGAATTGACAGCCTTTATTCAATAAGTGTTAAACACAGCTCATGGAATTATTCCATGGTTCAGTGTTTCCATGAGCATTTGTGTTGTTCTTCCAAATTTTGATTAAAAAAAATAATGGAATGAAAACAGACATTTCAAATGTTTCAGCGCTTTTTAACCAGCTATAGGACTGGGAGAAAGATTTCAAAATGTCAGTGGAACTTTTGCAAACTGTTTTAGCAGACGTATTTTCCTTCTTGTTTATTATTCAACTTAGTTAAGTGGCAGTTTCTATCTAAGCGTAGCTCTGGCTGTGTAAAAACTGTAGATACCACACAGAATGACAGCTGAATTCTAGCAGAAACTGACAAAATAAAGATAAAACAAACCAAAAACAGAATTCAGGCCACTTTGAATGATTATAAGAGGATTTATTGTGCATATATGCTTTATCCTGGTCTGACTTGCTAGGATTTCCCAAAGCCTAGTTTACAGCAGTGACAGCACAGTCAGAGAGGATGAAGACAGGATTTGCAGTTCTTGATTGAGGGTCGCAGTTTGACACTTTGTAGCTATGGCTGAGCCCAAAAAATTCAGTTCATATTTGTCTGGAATATTTCGATGTTTGTTCAAATGTAAGGAAAAGAATTAATCCAACCAGGCTTCGGGCGGAGGGTGGTTCTGTTCTTGATGTCAGAAGAGGGCCTTATTCCTGTAGACCTGCCAGGCAACACTGGCTTTAGCAAGAGGCATTACCTGAGTGAGAAATGTAAGATTTGGCAAATCAAAACCTTTTAAGTCCTCTGGACTATTTTGCTGCTGTGATACGCAGAATACCAGCTGGCCATGTCAGCTGCTTCGCAGAGAAACATATGTGTTACGGTAATGTAAACTGGTCTTTACAGATTGTCTTGGGGCAAAAATAGAAAAAGTAAAAATAAGTTGTTTTAGAAAAGTCCTTGGACCAAAATAGTTAAAAGGCCACTTTAATTTGTTTTGTTTTTTTGCAAGTTGATTTTTAGAGTGTTCTTAATGTCAAAATATTTGTTTCAATGTAGGGGCAAAAGGGGCAGACAATTTGATAATAAAAAGCCTTATTTCTTCTACGATTTCATGGCAGCGAAGAGTCAGGATCACATTTTCTAATGCGTTGAATATCAGCAGGCTCCATTCTGCAGATGATGGATGTGATTTTGTGCTGTCTGTCTAGAGGAACAGCTCTGTCTTCTCAAATGAGCTTTTATTTTGTGTTGGAGTCCAAGTTCCATTTCCAGAGATGTCTTGGGTGAATTCTTCCCCTGGGTGGACGACCTCTCTTTTGTTTCCAAGTGCCAAAGATCAGGTTGGCTTGATCCAAGTTCTCCAGAAATTCTTTCTACATCAGAAGAGAGTTTGGAACATGCTCTCAACCTGATTTTTTTTTCCATTACTCTTCCCACTATGGTATGATGGAAGATCGTCTGGCCATTGAATTACAATGACTTAAGCAGGCATTCAATTTTCCCATCCTACAGGTCAGTCTGCTCTTGAATGTGTCCTTAATCTGGCATGGTGATCTTGACACTTGGGTGGGGTTTTTTAAATGTCTGGCTCTGAAATCAAGAGCATCTCAAACGGGCTTAAGTCAGGACTGCCTGCTTGCTTGTCTCAGAATAGGATGGTACTGGGGAGGAGTGGTATAGGGAAGCTGGCATGCCTCAGGAAGCCAAGAACATCTGGTTTGGGTTAAATCTAAGCAACAAAAACAATGCACGTTTGGTTTTGATTGCTATATTGAGCTGGCTTGTGCAGCAGCTTGCACTGTTAATTGCTATCAGAGAACTGCAAATGCCTTTGTAAATGGGAGCAGTATCCCAGTTGGAGGGGAAAGGATCTTCTAGAATTAATGGCTTCTGATGTGGAACAACCCTGTATATAGTTGCAGTCGGGGGGGTGTGTGTGTGTGTGTTCAAATCTCCTTGAAAAGCTCATGGCAAAACTACCTTGACCAGCACTGCGAAGAAGAGCAGGATGACCTGAGTCATGGGCCTGTGGAGATCTTGCTTGAAGTTTTCTGTTGGAGTTAACTGGAATTCTGACATCACTTTCAAGTTTATACTGCAAGAGGGGAAAAGAGTTGCAAAGAAAGGAGAAAGCTTATGAATGAGAGTGTGTTGTGAGCTCGTTTTTAAATGTTTTTTTCAGTCTTCATAATACTCTGAGGAATATTACATTAATTTTCATCTGAAGTAAAATAAGCGTAATTGTGAGGTTCGGAAAGTTGAGACAAAACCTGTAACTCTCCATGAACTAGAGGTGTCAGCCTCTTTGCAATGGGCTGGGGGGCGGATGCCACATTTGAATCTATGAGGAGGGAGGAAAACTGCATTTTATCTGAAAAATAAATGGAGTATGGCAGTGGCCTTTGGGACATATACTTGCCTGGAAGCAGGATGCACAGGCGAGGTACTGTGGAGAGGGGACTTTTGTGTTAGTGCTGCTCACACCCTCTCTGTGTTTCTCTTGCAGTCAGATGGGACCATCCTGGCTATTGCGTTGTTGATCCTCTTCCTCCTGCTGGCCTTGGTTCTTCTCTGGTGGTTCTGGCCTCTTTGCTGCACAGTGGTAAGTGACAGAAATCGTTAGCACAAAACAGCAATTCAGTGTTGCCTGAATGTAAGAAACGAGTGGGAAGGAGGCAAAGTTTTCCAGTAAGAAAGAGAATAGGACTGGTCATTGAACAAGGCAGTGTTTCTTCTATTGCTGGCACTGTTTTGTGCTTCTATTTCATCTGCCTGACCTTTGGATTATACCCATGAAACAGCAATGTTGCTAATATACAGACCTTGTCAGGAGCCTTTTAGTCTTATTTACTGGTCACAAAATGGAAATGGTTTGCAGAAATGTATTAGTTTGCATGCCTTTTTAGGAAGGAACGGCTTTTCTGGGTTTTCTAACCCCTGTGTCAGTATGTCAATGCTGGAGGGCTCCTGCAGAAGGGCAGGCATGCTGAACCCAGGCTGCAGTCCTTGTTCTGCCTCAGGTAGAAGGAAAAGGCGTTTCCAAGTGTGCAAACTTTTGCAAGATTAACATTTTTCCCTGGCTTACCATGTCTGAAAAGCACTTTGAAATATCCAAATGACAGTTTCAGTAGAAGTATGACTGTGCTCCACTGAGCATTATCTTTCCTCCATGCTTTTTCACAGAATATTCTGTGGAGTTAAAAAGCACAGTCACAGAGTTAACAAAAAAGGCAGACAGAAATCAGGAGAAAACAGGAGAGTAGAAAGAAGTCAAGGGAGGCAAAAAGGAAATCACAGGACTTGAAACAAGCTTTTCTCTCACGCATGACCCTGCTGTTTATCTGCAAGGACCTGTGACACCCCTGTGTATCTCTGATTGTCCCCTAGGGCTGCCTTTTCCAAGGAAGATCAGGGCAAAGGCTGTTTATAGTGGAACATACAATACAGTCAAGCTCTGCTCTTGCTTTGGGTCTTGTTTGTGCTGCAAATAAAGAGCACAATTTAAGGCTGTACAAGTGTCAGCAGAATTGGAGTCTGGTTTTGGTGACTGGCTGCATGTAATGTTCCAGAAGCTGCTTTTAAGACTGCCCAAACTGGCTCCAGTTTCTAGCTTGCTATCATTATTCCTGGTTTTAAATCACTTACCCAGTGTTGTAAATTTGCACCATGTTGTATCAAACCTATGATCCGGTTCTGAGAGCTTTAGAGCCAAAGACTGCAGGAGCAGTCACGTTTGAGGATGAGTCTTTGTGGTGAGATGTATTTCTGTATCCGGAGCAAGGATGGAAATCGCGCAGGAAAAATCTTAGTTGTCTACTTCTGTTTCTGGCTGGAAGCACTAGGGGTAAGACTCTTCTTTTCACAGTAGTTTGGCACTTCTGTCCTCAGATGAAAACCAGAAGGGAAAAAAATATTTATTTGGACTTTTCAGAACAATAAAAAAGTCAGTTCTAAAAATGGACAAAGGATTAGCAGTGTGTTAGACAAATCCCTCTGAGCAACCTAAACAAGATGGCACGTTTCCCAAGAAGATGGGCCAACTGCTTTGCTGGCGCATCTGCGTGGAAGTCAATGGAGGTGTACCCTGCACAGATGTTTACACTGGGATTTGGTGGATAACTCAAGTGGTAGAGGGGAAAGGCTCTAAGTGATGGTGCCATTTTACGGTTCTTGTTACAGGAGAAAGATGAAGCAGATAGGAGAAAGGCATGAATAAAAGCAGCAGGGCATGGAGTAAAGGGAACATGGAGCTATGCACTGCGAGGGTAGTGTGGGACTGCTCCAGTGGAATGATATGAGCAGAGTGGTCCTATAACAGCGTTCTTGAAGTGTGAGAAATACAGTCCAGATAAGCAAGGTGGGTGCAGCAGAGATACAGGAGTCTCTTGTCCACATGAAACTTTATAAGCTTAATATTTTCCAGATTTAAATTCTGTACTTAAAAAAAATTTGTTGAAGATAAAAGCTTTTCCTCACCCTCTCTTCTCCTTTACCTCCCACATTCCTTATAGCAAGGTCTCCAAGTGGGGACTGTTTCACTGATATTTTCCATATGGAAGTCAAACACATCCCCCTACTTGCTGGAGAGATTTTAATTCAAGAGCCTGTATGAAATCTCTTCCATCTCTCTGAGGTGGCAGTGCAGTATGTTTGGCAGTAGACCAGCAGCTAAGATAACTCGCTGTGTGTTGTTTACCCAAAGATTCTGTAAAATTAAAGATAAATCTACAGAGGACTACCCAGCCTGTTTGGCTTTGGGTAGGGAGAAAGAGAGCAGAGCAACGCTGCGTATTTACTGGTTTGGTAATGGCGCATTAAGGAATGCAGTGTTGTCAGAAGCACAGAGTGAATTAAGGGCAGAGGAACAGGCTTGCACAACAGACAAGAGAGGCAGGCAAGCAATAACCTCTAATAATCAAACCGCAGACCCAGAGACATGGCTGTGGATTCGAGCCCAGGGACGTTGCAGAGATAATTTGTGTGTGTGTCTGGGGAAAAAAGAAAAAAAACCCAACAAACCTTTTTTCTTACCAAGTATAAATTTGCTTGAGTGGCAAGCACATTTCTAAACCCTGAAATTCCTCTTGGCGTGTTTTTTAATTAAATAGGGACCATTATTATGCAGCAGTTTTTCAGGAAAGACACCAAGCCAGGTTCATCCCTGGAGTAAATGGACTGAAGTCAATAGACTTACTCTGGAGATTTATCTGGAACCCAGTATCTCGTTGGCATGCAACCATAAAGAAATGCTGTTTCCAAGTGTATCCAAGTTTATTGGTCTCAGAAGTATTCTGGGATGAAGTCTGGAATTTACCACTCAGTTTACAGTAGATGCAATTGTTGCTTAGTGGATCAGAATAATAATTAGGCCTTTGCTGTGCCTGATAACAGCACAGGCAAAACTTCCCTTGATATCTGTGGGGGAATATTACAAAAGCGTGGGACCCAGGTGCTAACCTTTCAAAAGGTTTCAAGGATGTTTATTCAACAACAACAGAAAATAAAGAAGGATAATCCTGCTGACAACCCCAGCACTGGATAGATTAGAAGAACAATGCCAAACACAGACATCTGTAACAGGATGACACCCCTTTTCCCGAGCAGAGCATATCTGCAAAACAGCAGGTGCCAGAGCCTGGCCTTGGTGATGTTAGTGGGCATTTTGCTGTTGTCTTCTTGTTCCTCCTCTTTCCTGAACACAGCATAACGTGAAGGAGTCTGAGCGATCATAGTAGTAACTGTGTGTGCAAGAGGCTATTTATGTGCCTAAGGGTGAAATTGTTCCATGTAGGAGGCCAAGATGAGGCTTAGGCTTAATATCAATGTAAACCAAATAGATTTTAATATAGATATAAGCCAAATAGATAATAAGCCTCCAAAACTGCTTTAAAGAGGATTTTGCAGACACATTGTTAGATTGGCTTGGAAATGGAGCTGGTTAAAGTGTTTTGGATGTATAGTGAAGTGATAATTAATACAATAGTTGGAAGGCTTGTCTGTGCCGGGACAGTTTCCCTGGGCCAATATGCAGCACCCCACTGGGCAAGCGTCTCCCATAGACACTTAAAATTGGCAGGCTGAGTGGGTCGTGTTTGGGCTATGCTTTGCACCTGAACAGGATCTGCATGAAAGATTAGCCCTGGCATAGCTGAAGTGGAGGCTACAGTCAGCCTGTCGTGAGCCTTGGTCTGAATCTTAGCTAGGGCCGTCCAGGGGATAAAACACAGGGAACATGGATTGAAGTGTCTTCCTGGTGCATCTGAGACTCAAAATGTTTCCCCACATGCTGGTACATCACATCTCCTTACAGTTTTGAGGTAAACATGAGTCTTTGCCTCCCTTATGCATCCATATGATGTGGCCTGAGCAGAGGGGGTGTGAGAAGCTGGTTGCTGCTAATTGCCCACTTAGAATATTTACGTTACCTTGCTCATTCTTATATTGCAGCCTGTTTAAATACAGGGATGTAGCTGGCATGTAAATGAGGTGTTGGCATTTAAGCATCTAACACCAGTTCTAACTTTAAAGCTGCTTTCTGGAAGGAAGCATGGAAGAACCCAGCAATTTGTTTGGCTCTCCGTCTGTATTGCAGCTGACCAGAAGTTTTGGAAACAAAAAGCTAGATGGAGAAAATACAGAAAATATATATTAAAACCACATTGAAAATCACATGAAAAAGTGCAGGAAGAGGAGGGGAGGACATGCATAGACTCTATAGCAACCCTGAAGAGTCATAAAATTACATGGTGTGTGTTGGCTTGATGGAGATTACTTAGAATGGTCCGCATATTCCGATTCCCACCAGCTCCCATGTGCATGAGGCCCAGTTTTTCCTGCAGTTATGATGATTTTGGGAGAAGGGAGCACAGGATCGTAAATCATCTGAAACATCATTGAGACAAACCAAGAGAAAGAGACAAATGCACAGGCAGAAATTGCTTGTGGAGCCCACAAGTCCCTGCCTTCCATTTGGATCTGAGCTGTTGAGACAAGCACCCACCTAGTATAGTATGGTAGTTTCACTGAATTTATTGGACCTTGATGTGGTGTGTAACATTGGAGCTCTGAATCCATGCATGCTGCCACAAAGGAGTGTCTTCACGCATTCAACAGGTAGCACTGTTGTTGTAGGTTTAAAGTAGTGTAAATAACAGAACCTGACTTTGCAACTGCTGTGCACAAAGGGCAGCAGGAGGATGAAGACAGTCGTCTTAATTGTCCAGAGTACCCACAGCAGTTCACTCCTGTCAGTCAGATCAGGATGGTTTAAATATGGATATAATGCTCTATAATTGGCTGTGTTTAAACAGCCTAGCATGAATCCTGAAGATAGGATAGCAGAGACATTTTGCCAGGGCTAGCACCATCAGCTCTACAGCGCCCGGGTAGAGAAATGGGCTAGCAGAACAGTGTGCGTGCCAGGCACTGAACTAGGGTGCTTTGACGTGCTGCTGTGATGTGTCATTATCAAGAAGTTAAAGCCAAATTCTACAAAGTGTCCATCAGTTCTGGGGTGTCCAAACTGCCAGATCTTAATGGATTTTCCTTCTTGGAAAGTGCTAAGCATTGCCCTCTGAAGGTTAGTAAGGTAGCCATTTGCCT